TTCCCCCGGCGCTGGGGGGCAGCCCCCGCGCGCAGCCAATGGGGGCCCCGCGGAGGGCGCCGAGACGAAGCCCTTCGTCCCGATTGGCCCGCGCCTCTGGCGCACTCCGGCCGGCCAATGGGCGCGCCGGCTCGACGGCACGGGGAGGGGGCGGTAAGCTCCGCCCCTCGCGGCGAGGCCCCGCCCACAAGGCTCCCCACCAATGGCGTGCGCGGCTGCTGCCCCGCCAGGGCCAGGCCCCGCCCCTGCCGCGCGCGGGCCGGGACGGCGGGGCCGCCTGCCCCACACGGGGGTCCCGCACGGGGCCCTGGCGGGTCCCGCGGGCAGCGACGCCGTGGGGCTGAGCGCCCGGGGGACACGGCTGCCCTGGGGGACAACCAGGGGCGACCCCCMTCCACAGGGCACTGGGCTGGAGCCGGCACGGGTGACACTGAGGACACGGGGGGACAGGGGTGTCCCAGGGTGTGCGGGATAGGGGTGTCCCTGCTGTCCCGCCCCCCACGTCCTCGTGGCTCGGCCCCAGGGGGCAGGGGGTCTGTGCTGGGACACCCCAGCCCGAGGTCCCTTGTGCGCTGCCCCTGGTGCTGCCGCTGCGCTGGTGGGGTGGCCCCTATGGCAGTGAGGTGACCCACAGGCTGGTGGGGTGGCACATGGGTCAGTGAGGTAACACCCGTACCAACAGGGTGGCACACATGGGGATGAGGTGACRCACGTACCAATGGGGTGGCACACGGCACAGAGGACTCGCGGTCTCGGCGGTGCCGCAGASGTGCCCGCTGCCTGGGGGCACCACCGGGCTCCGTGGGGCTGTTGGCAGCCCCTGGCCGCGGGGGGCCTGCCCCACGGCCACGTCCCTCACTCCTCCTCGCCCCTCACCCATGCCTGGGGCCTGAGCCCGTCGCCCCACATGGGGCTAAGTCCTGGTGCCCACGGCCGCCCCGTGAGCACCCCAGGGTGGGCACAGGCTCTGCCCGCTCGTGGTTCCAGGGTCCCCAGCAGCCTGGCAGCGCTCAGCGTGGCGGGCAGGTGCCGAGGGGGAGCCGAGGGCAGGGGCTGCGCGCGGCCTCGGTGCTTCCCCACGCAGGGCTCCGTGGGGCCGTGCCGGGCAGGAAGGGCGGCCGGACGCCTGCTCGGGGCTGATAAGGTGCCCGGGACGGGGCCTGTCRCCGCCGGGCACCCGGCAGCCCCCGCCGCCCACCCACAACAGGGGCTGATGGTGCCCCAGGGGACCCCACAGCGCCCTGACCCTGGAGGGTCCTCCTGGGTGCCCTCGGGAGGTGCCCGGCTCGGCTGTGCGGGGCCACCCAGCAGCACTCGGAGCAGGGACCCAGCTTGGGGGTCAGCCAGGGGGGGCTGGAGCCCCCCTGGGGACCTGGGCACCCCGGCATCGTGCGGGTGCTGCAGCCCCCTAACCCCGCAGGAGCGCAGAGCCCGTCGGGCAGTGCCAAGAAGCCGCGGGGCCGCAGCATCCTCCAGTCGCTCTTCTGCTGCCTGTGCCGCGATGACGCCGAGCCCTTCTCGGTCAACAACAACGCGCCGCTGCTGGTGGAGGAGAACGGCGCCGTGCCCAAGGTACCCCCGGCAGGGCCGCCCCGCGCCCGGCAAGGGGACGCAGGGGGCAAGGGGGCGCTGCCCCCCGCTCCTCGCGGCGCCCCCAGCCCCACGCGCCCCTGTCCCCGCCGCAGGCGCCCGTCAAGCACCTCCTGCCCGACATCAAGCCGCAGGACGCCAGCAAGCTCTGYGTGGTCATCGACCTGGACGAGACGCTGGTGCACAGCTCCTTCAAGGTGGGCGCTGCCCCACGCGCTGCCCCGTCCCCCTCACCCCACACCCTTCCCGGCGCCCCAGCCCTCCCAACCGGCACCGCTGGCACCTGCAGCCGGTGCGGGCAGCACTGGGGCCGGGGCGCGTGCCCCACACTGACCCCGCCGTGCCCTCCACAGCCCGTGAACAACGCGGACTTCATCATCCCCGTGGAGATCGACGGCATCATGCACCAGGTGAAGGGCACGTGCCCGGCGGGCAGGKGACTCCGCTCCCGCTGCCACCGCGGCGCTTGTGGGGCAGGGACAGCCGGGCGCGAGGCTGCTCGGTGGGGCAGGGCCCGTGCTGGGGGGCAGGAGCTCTGGGGGCAGGGGCTGCCCCGCTCCTGGCAGYGTGGGGAGCAGGCGACGCGGGACGCTGCCCGACGGATGCCCACCCCGAGAGGCTGGCGCCAGCTTCAAGTAATCCAGGATAGGCTGTGGTCTTGGCAGTCAGCCTGTTCTAGGTTACTTGGTTCCGGAGCCTGCCGGCCGCTTCATCCCCGCGGGGCTCCCACCTCCGAGCGCCCCCAGCCCCCCCACGAGGTCCTGCCCCCCAGCCCCACGCCGTGGGGCAGGCTGGCGGGCACAGGGGTCCCTCGGGGGGGCTGCCCTCACGCCGGCCCCTTCGCCCCAGGTGTACGTGCTGAAGCGGCCGCACGTGGACGAGTTCCTGCAGCGCATGGGCGAGCTCTTYGAGTGCGTGCTCTTCACCGCCAGCCTGGCCAAGGTGAGCCCGGCACCCCCGGGCACYGCTGCCCCCTTTCCCACCCCCCTGGGCACCGCTGCCCCCCATCCCGGCCCCTGCAGGCCTGGCCTGGGTGCTCTGCTCACCTAGGCGTAGCCTGGGCGCTTGGGGGGCAAGCTGGCAGCGGCAGGGACAAAACCCCAGTCCTGCGGTCCCCACCAGTGCCCCAGCTCTCAGCGCAGGGTTAGGGAGGGCTCCGTGCCCCACTGACCTCCCCTTTACCCCCAGTACGCCGACCCCGTGGCCGACCTGCTGGACAAATGGGGGGCTTTCCGGGCCCGGCTCTTCCGGGAATCCTGCGTCTTCCACCGGGGCAATTACGTGAAGGACCTGAGCCGCCTGGGCCGCGACCTGCGCCGCATCATCATCGTGGACAACTCGCCCGCCTCCTACATCTTCCACCCCGACAACGCCGTACGTGCCCCGCGCGGGACGGGACGGGGACGGGGACGGGCTGCGGCGGCACCGGGGCCGTGGGTGGCACTGGGGGAACAGAGGGCAGAGCCAGCAGGTCAGCGAGGGCCGGTCTGTGCCCCAAGAGGGGAGCGGGGTGACACGTCCTGGTAGCACGGGGGTCTGCAGGCACTGCAGTGGGGGGGCCTTCCCCATAGATGGGGGGCCCAGGGGCCATCGGCACATCCCCGTGTCTCCCGTTGGGAGCTGTGGGGCTCCGGGTGGCCGCTCAGCGGGGCCCTGCGCTGCCCGCAGGTGCCCGTGGCCTCGTGGTTCGACAACATGGCAGACACGGAGCTGCTCGACCTGCTGCCCTTCTTCGAGAGACTCAGCAGAGTGGACGACGTTTACACAGTGCTCAAGAAACACCGGACTAGCAGCTAGTGCCCGCGGGGCCGGCAGAGCCGCCCGTCGCCAGCGCCGCGCGCCGCCCCACGGCCACTGACGCTTTCCCCGTGCTGGGGGGCACCGCGGTGGCACCCGAGCGCCTTACCGGGGCGGGGGGGACCCACCACCGTCCCCTCCTGTCCCTGGAGCTGCTGGGTGCCCCGGCCATCCCCGCGCGCTGGTGTTGGGAGCGGACGGGGCAGCAGCGGGGAGCGGGTTGGTGCCCCCTGCCCTTCGCCCCACAAGGGTGGCCCGTGGGGGGCTCTTTGCCTTGCTGAGCTGGGGTCCTGCTGGGTGGGGGTCCCATCCGGCTCCCGGCCCYGCTCCCCACTACGGTTCTCAGGTCCTTAACCCCTCGGTGCCCCTGCCCGGGGGCGGGAGGGGGATTCGGCATCTGCTGCTGTCCACTGCCTTGGGGGGCAGCCCCCCGCCCGGGCTCGGCCCGCTAAGYGGCCTGGCAGCCCTGGACCCCCATCCACAGGGGCTGCCCCCTCCCCAAAAGCAAAGGGGGTCCCATCAGTCTCGGAGCAGGGGGGGGCACTTCCATGCCCCWAACTCTGCCCTTGGTGCAGCTGATCACCTCGGGGGGGGCACCCTGCACCCCTCCCTCGTGCCTTCCAGTGCCCCCCGCCTGCAGGGGCAAGTTTTGGGGGACACCTTGGCCTCGGGGCTGCGCCCCCGGCTGCCGATGCCCCCGCTCGTGCCTTGGGACACTGTGTCCCTACCAGCCCCACCGAGCCCGGGGGGGCCCTTAGAGCCTCCCCTCCAGCCTCATTCCCAGCAGGGTAGGGGGGCTCCGGCCTCCTCCCTCAGCTCCCAGTACTGCCGCATTAACGGGAGCCCCCACATCCCTCATGGGGGCCCCCCAACCCTTTGCAGTTCCACCAAAGGCTGCGACTGCCTGAGGGGCACCCCGATACCAGCCTTAGGGCGACCCTCCCTACCCCCCTGTCCCCTCTAGCCTTACACCAGCGCCGGCCCCACAGCCCGTGGGGCTGGGCCCTTGCCAGGGCGCCCCCGGCTTTTGTGGGGCTGCGGCTCTCAGGGAGGGCTTGGGGTTGGGTTCAGCCAGGGGCGTTTTAGATACAGACAGTGTCTCTATATTTTTTAGGGGGAAAAAAAAAAAAAAAAAAAAGCAACGGTTTCCTGCAAAGTCACAGGTGCCTTTTTACCGCTGTGCCAGGGAAGGAGGAGGGCAGAGCTGGAAGGGGGAACCGCGGAGTGGGGTCCGACTGTTGGTGCCCCACGGGCGCTGCCCTTCTCCAAGCGCTGGGTGCCCAGCCCATCACCCTGCCCGCCGTGGACAGGTCCCCGTGTCCCTGCCTAGGCACCCTGCCCCACGGCAGGGCCTCGGGGCAGGCTGTGGGGCCCCTGCCCCAGGGACCCCGTCCTGCGCTGGGCCCCATCCTGCCCCCCGGGAGGGTCCCACTCAGCACTTTATTCACCCGGGCAAGCGGCACCAGCAGAGCCGGGTGCTCCCTGGGCATCCGGGCGGCGTTTGGAGCGGGGGGAGCTGAGCTGCCCGGTGCCACCCCRTGTGACACTGGGGGGGTGGGAGGGTGCGTGGGGACCAGATCGAAGTGCCTTGGTGTGATTAAAGCTGCCCGAGCGCCTTGGAAAGGGAGCCGCGCCGCGAGCCTGCTCTGTGTGTGCCCACGCTGCCGTGTGCCCCGYGCGCGTCCCTGCTGCCCCTCTGGGGCTGGCCCTGCTCAGCGGGTTGGTACCCCCACTTGTCACCCTGACTTCGGGGGCGGCACCCCACAGGGTGCTGTATTTTGGAGAGGGTGCTGAGTACTGGGGTCCCCCACTTCCCAGGCACCTGCAGCAACCCCCCCAGACCACCCCCTTGCCCATCTCCCCAGGAAGGGGCCCGAGGGCCACCCTGGGCTCTGTGTGTTCACAGCACCACGGSGCTCCCTGCCTCAGTTTCCCCTGCAGTTTATTGGATCAGCCCCCCCAGGCAGGATGGGGGAGGTTTGGGACACCCCCATGGGGGGCTGCTGCCAATGCACGGGGTGCCCTGGGGGGGTCTCTGCTTGTCCCTCCTCCCATGCCCTTGTTGGCCTCGTGCCGCTCCTCGTTAGTGAAGTCCCTGTCCGCCCTCATCTCCGCACTAATTACTGAGTTCATTAGTGGCCCGACACGTCTGAGTGGGGGCCCCGAGGAGGGGGCTGCGGCCGGTGCCCCCCACGTCGCTGCCGCAGCGGCTGGTGCAGCCCCAGGTCGCAGCCACAGAGCGGGCGTGGGGGCCCCCAGCCCCACACACAGCCCAGGGCCCTGCAGCCAGGTGAGGGACCCCCATGGGAGATGGGGGGCAGGTAGGGCTCAGCCTGCTGTGGGGTGGGTGCTGGGGCGGGWGCTGGGGGGCTGGAAAGTGCTGGAGGGCACAGGAAGGAGGGAGGTGCCGTGGGAATCCCCTGCCCCCTGGTGCCAGAGACCCCCCCTCGCTTGTGCCTGTCCCCACTGACCCCGGGCTCCCCCTCTGCTACCCCTGCAGCGGGGCGGGCAGGACCTGGGGTGAGGGGGACGCTCTGAACACCCTGCCTTTCCACCCCCCATCCCRCCCCCCGGCCCCTGCCACCTTGGCCTCCCCAGCCACCCCTTCCCCAGCACCTGGTGCCACCCCAAGCGCAGCCGGGCCGGCCCTCCGCTGCTCCCAGGCTGGTGTTTTGGCAGGGAGGGAGCACCAGGAGAGGCACCAACCCCCAAAACCCCCCTGGTGCCGCCTTTGCCCTGAGCTGCCCCCGAGGGGGATGCCAGGCGTGGCAGGGGCTGTGGGGCGTCCCCAGCAGCTCCGCCAACCTGCTGCACCACAGAGACAGCCGTCAACCCCAGCAGCGCGTTTGGGACGGGGGTGCTTGCGGGGGGCACGTCCTGCGCGGCGGCAGCGCTGGGCACTGCTGCGCTGCCCGGCTCCTGTCCCTGCCGAGCCCCGAGGCGGTGACGGGACGGGACGGGGAGGCTGCGCCCGCTGCGCCCGCGCTGCCCTCACCACCTGGCCTGGAGCAGGGCCAGCCCCAGGGCGCCCGCGGCACCGGCTGCGGCGCAGCGGGGCAGCACGAGGCTGGGCAGCCCCGCGGCGCTGGGGAGCACTGGGGTTGCTCCCCAATGCACAACCCCGTCCACAGGTTTGCGCAGCAGCCAGGCACCCCTCACATCCCGCTGCTGCTGGCTGGAGAAGGGGGCACAGCYGGACGGGAGGGATGGGGACAGGTCACAGTGTGCAGGGGGGCTCTGCTCTGGGCGCCAAGAGGCAGCGACCGAAGCCAGCGGGAGCCAAGCTGGGATCCTCACGCAGGGAGCTCCAGGCCAGGGCCCCTCTCTGGGGGTTCACGGGGACCCCAGCCCATGCATGGCCCTGTGAAGGGAGCTTTCCACCCTAGGTGTCCTTTTCGTCCCTGGGTGTCCCCTGCAGCACCAGAAAGCAAGTGGCTGCCCCAGCAAGGACAGCCCTGCGGGAGCCTGACACCAGTTCCCCATTGGGTGCTTCCTGCATGCGGCAATCCCAGCTCCAGCCTGCAGGCAGGAGCGTGAATCCAAGCCCATTCTCCCGCCTCTCAGCTTGGGTAAATGTTTGACAGGCTGGAGGGTTATCAGCTGCAGCCACTAATGAGCCCGGGGGAGATTTCCCTTCTCCCAGGGGCTTATAAAAGCCTGGCCCACAGCCCAGGCTCTCTGGGATCACTTTCCATCCCAGTCACATCCAGGTGGCCCTATCCTGCTGCTTGCACAGCCCTGTGTCCCCAGCAGCCCTTATAGGTGGGGAGTCTTGTCATTTAGTAGGGTCTTTGGAGTCAACTCAGCTGCTCCCTGGCCCTAAACCCACCCAGTGTGCCCAATCCCCGTCCTACCACCCCTTGCCCGAGCTCCATGCCCTGTCCCGTGGCCCGTCCTGCTGCTCGTCCGCCCGGGACGGTGTCCCCRTGTGCAGAGGGCAGCAGGTCCCTTCTCACAGCCGGTACCTGCCTGCTGGGCCCGCTGGGGGTTGATGGCCCTGCAGCAGCACGTGGCCACGTATGGCAGGTGTTTATCAGCTCCACCAGCCACCCCCAGACCCAAACTGGGTGCCGGTGCCGCCTGCACCCTTGCTGCTGCCCTGGGACCTGCCACGAGCCCGATGTCCCCTCCGTATCCCAGCCCGTGCCAGGGCTGCAGAGCCCTGCGTGGGAGGGATGAAGCTCTTGGGCAGTGCACATGGAAACGGTCCCAGCTGGGGCTGATGTGCTCCGGGCCTCCCYAGGGATGGGCAGGGGACGTCCCAGGAAGGTAACGCAGCAGCGTTGGTGGGTCGGAGCTCGTGATGCTCGAGTCCTTCAGCACCAGGTTCGCACCTGCAGCGGCAGCTCCAGGACGGGTGGCCAAGGCCTGGTGCAGATGTGGGGTGCAACAGCACGAGGGCAGATGATTAATTAACCCCTGAGAACCAGGGCTTTCTGGGCGCCAGGAAGCCCTGGAGCGATGTGGGGACCTTGACTGGAGGCTGTTCCTGCCCTTATATGGTGAGGACGGGCTGGGGCAGGAGGGACAAAGTCTCCTGGGCGCTGGCACCGGAGCACTTTGCCTAGGTGCGTGCCCAGCTCCGCGGGAAGGTGAGGGGCTGGGGCACACGGGGGGCCGTGCGGCTGCCGGGGCTCCTGCACCGAGGYGGCCCAGTTCCAGGCCTGGGAAGGGATGGGATGCGGGTGCCATCCCGCYGCGCTCCAGGGTTCCTGGCACCATGGCGCGGGGTGGTGGGTGCTTCCCGGCTGGCACAGTGGGAATTGCTGGGGGGTCCAGCACATCCCCAGGACCCCAGGCACGGCTCRCGTTTCCCTGCCAATTCCCACCCTGGGGACATGGAGGCCTTTGCCYGTTCCRGGGTGACGGGCCCTGCTGCTCGTGGGTGAGTCCTGGTGGGCTCGGCTGCCCGGGGCGCCCACCCGTGTCCCAGCGCACCCCRAAACGCTGCCGCGCTCCGGCCGTGYGACGCTRCGTGTGGGAATGGGGACTCCTGGCGTGACAGGGGTG